GGGTAGGCTTTAGTGTGGCTTTTCTTATTGAGGTGAAGTGGATGGGGGAAGCAATTGGATAGAACAGCAGCTTTTCTAACAGAAATTATGAGAAATCTTCAAAGCTGGCAACAGAAAGAAGGACTGTGAATACTGTTATCTTTGCTCATTTGCAGGTTTTAGTTTGTTGTTTGTTGTTTTTTTTTTTAATTTGGCTTTGAAACTAGCCCCTCAGCTACAGGTTTGTGGAGGAGGGGTAGGAAGTTAATCCCCTCTAAAATTGGGAGCACAAGTGCTGTTTTGGTAAAACTTCAGAAAGACCCGAGGCAGAGAATCAGTGCTTGCTTACAGTCCTGACTGCTGGTCAACGTCAGCGCCTTTCTGCACGAGAAGGGAGATGGCGTCTGCGCGCTTGTTAAGGACAGCAACTGTGAGAGCAGGTCGGTCCTCGTCGCTGCGGCAGTTTGGGTCAGCTCCCTGGAACACACAGAATCACAGAATGTTCGGGGTTGGAAGGGACCTCTGTGGCTCATCTAGAGCCATAAAGATTCTCCAGCTTCCACCTTGCTTTAATATTATGCCAGTTTAAGCTGGCAAATGGTCTTTGTGCTCAGGACGGAGAAATGTTCAAATTGTATTTATTCTTAATGTTTCTTCTGAAAAGGTCTGTCCTAGCTCAAAACCAGAGCAAATGTGTATAATGAGGGCAATCAAGCTAGATTTCACAGTCAGGATGCATCTAACTACACAGTAAAAAGGTAGAGTTTATGCTTTCTTTTGCTATACAGAGGACTTGACCCAGAACTATAAAACAAAGGTCTTTTTCTTTCTGCATGGCTTGACAAACCCGGATGAGAATGCATTACACACTGGCCAAACAGAAATTTGGGGAGAACATACATAAACATAAAACAGGCTGTTCCTTCTCCAAAATGCTCTTCCACCCTGAAGACAGTTGTATTGCAAGGATGTTGCCTCCAAAGCATGAAGTCTAGGTCACATACCAGGCTAATATTCATGCAGTAAAGGGTCAAAGAGCTGCAAAGGGAAACTTCAGCAAGCAATAACTTACTTCATTGAGCAATTGTTCCACCAAGGTGATTCTTCCTTTTCCATTTGGACCCAGTTCATCCAGTAGTTGTCTGGACTCTGGCTGTGGAAACACAGAAAACAGCCAGTAGTGTTTCACACAGCGAAAATACAAATAGGTGGGCCTCTGAGTAAAGCTGGAAAACGCACACCATGACATGAGTACAGCTGAGGGAAGAATGCAGTGTAGCTGAGCCTCAGCATTACTGACTCATGACCCTCCTGTGGGGATTTCTTTCTGAATCTGAGCAAGTGTTGGATAACCCAGGCAAATATCTCACTACTGAGGTCCTGACCCAGCAAACATGTCTGCAAGTGACTCGCTTTACATCAGCACAGCTCTCCAGGACCGCACAAATATCTGTTCACCACAGTAAACAAGGGCACAAGTTCTTTGCCACAGAATTAAAGTTTGAAGCTTCCAGAACTTGTGGAAGTGTTTTATTTAGAAAATGAATGTGTTTTTGCCTCTCAGAAGTTTGATAACTAAATCTCAAAACAAACCAACCAACTCAAAAACCTTCTCCTTTTACTTCTTCCCACCTCCTTCCTCTGTCCTTTCGAAAGCCCAATCACTTGACCAGACATTTTTATTTCTGGACTTTTATCACAAAGCTCCATATCTTCTTCCACCCCTTGAGTTGGCTAAGTGATCCAACCTGAGATTAATGCACATTTCCCTTTTGAAGTTTTCTGTGCTGTTACCATTATCCATTTAGCAGGCACTGCTTCCAGGACATTTCTCAAGTGGAAGTAAAGCCTTGCTTCTTGCATGAAGCTAGCCCTCTCTTATGCTGACGTCTCAGATTCATGGGAAAACTGAGTCGACCTAAAAGCCTGTTGCATAGATCATCTTCCCCTGTCTAGTTCACAGTCTGACTGTGCGAACAGTAGCTTTAGCACAGCCAAGGGTATGTCCTGTAGAGTCAAACCAGGTAGTAAGGGTCAAGGGAAGACGATAATGTCTCCGTCTGATGTTGCTTCTGACAAAAACCTGTAACAAAATCAGTCTGCAACAGTCTTTAGGCCTAATGCCGTGCCAGTAAAACAGAATGGGTCCAAACACGAAAGCAACATTCTAATTAAGCTCTAAGTAGGAACAAAGTTTGGTTATTTCCAGTTCTGTAATAAATGTCAGCTACGAATTTTCAGGTTTTATGTTAAGTTGGACTTTTGTCCCCTTTCCTTCCCCCACCCTGGTCAGTATTAAAAGCCTTGGATGCCCTCCTTCACGTTAGTGCTGCTCTATAGGTAGTTTGTTCTGTACTCGCAGAAGATACGTACGGGGAGCGTATCTGCTGGTTCTGTAAGTGTTCTTGACTTTGTTCTCTTTAGTTTGCCTCTTGAATGGAAAAGATTATGATCATCTTTGCCTACCAGAAAGGGAAACAAGTGTTAATTCAAAGCAAAGTCAGTATTCTAACAAGAACTTGGGGGAGAGATCTGGAAACAATTTATCCACAAAAATACTTTATTATGTGTTGAAACGAAAGCAATATTTATCAGTTTTCTACAAGACAAGGTGATGAAATATTTGTTGCAGATCAGACTGGTTTTAACAAAAGGTTTACACTTGGGCAGACTCAAAAATTTGCTATTTTGAAATGAGATTCAAAGAAATGTGGAGTTTGGGTGGTTTGCGTCTTTTTTTAACTAGCTGCAGCTATTCAACAGGCTTGACTTGGATTCATTAATAGTTTCAACCAAAATCCTTACAATTTTTCGATGTTGTTTAGCTCCCAAATACTTAAGAACAAGACTAGAGGACCTTGAGTAGACATGTATGTCTGTTATTTTTAAGAGATGTAATCTATCAATGTGCAGGAGGGTTGATAAGGAAACCACATGGGGACACTTTGAGCTGGTGCTACTGGAGTGCCTGGAATCACAGTCACCTTACTGACACTTCAGAAAACCAGCTCCTAGTGCCGTGGCTGCCACTTGCCAAGTCTCAGATTACAAGCACAAACTGGCCGAAACTTACATGTGAATTGAAGTGTGTCAAATCATACTATAGGAATTTCTGAATTCTAATGCTGACTTTACAACTAGTTGATTTAATGAAAACCGAAGTCCAGTATGAGATGCCTAAAATGCTGAGCTGTTACTGACACCAATGGGAGATGCAAGTTAAGCATCTCTGAAAACTAGGTCTTGAATGAATGTATTTAATCATTTCTTATCTTTGCCAAATGCGCCAAAGATGAAGTCCCTGGCACAGCTCAAAAGTAGAGATAATATTGACATTTATAGCTCCTATTGTAAAAGAATAGGCAAGGCATCTAAAGTTTTATCACTATAATAAAGACACTGCTATGAGCTGTGGCTGCAGTTTACTGGCCTCTCCAGCTGTCCTCTAGGGATGAAGCATTCCCATGAGCTTTTGACAGAGTCTGTACATTGCTTAAACCTCAACTCAGCCACATTTTAAGACTTAAAAATCAACTTAAGCAGTTGTAGAATGTGCCACTGTATTAGTTTGCCTATCTCGGTGTCTAACCTTCCAAGCACTGCTTCCATATTCTTGACTACTGTATTTATGGTCTATCACAAAGACAGAGAGGAGGAGGAGGGAAATCTCACCAAAACTAGTCTGATTGCCATCCTGTCCACCTCTGACTTCTGTTACAGTATTCAGGTAACGACTGCTGAACTTCACTGCTTTATTAGTATGAATATCCTGTAGAATCATCAAATGCAGGCAGTTAATCAGATTATCATGTAACACTGTTATAATCTTAGTAGCACGAAACAGTGATGTTGCGTATGAAAAAACGTATAGGCTTTTAATATAAGTCTCAAATTAGCACAAGACAAATTATTATGTACTTGAACTCTTTTTGAGGCAAAATAATGTAGCATTTTTTTCTAAACCTTGTGTTAGATATTTGTTTTTGTTTAAAAAAAGAAAAAAAATGACACAGCCTCACTTAATGAAATGAAAATTCTCATCCAAATGAAAGTGTGTCTACCACTTGAGAGATCTGATTAACTCCTCACTTGTGAAATGATGTGATACACATTTTCAGGCACCACTTGGGAAGCTAAACTTTTAAAGATTTTACACAAGAGATGCAGCCTAAATTTTTGATCTTTGAAATGGCAGATTTTCATCTTTGAAAAGCTGGAAGTAAATACATGGGTGGTTTTTGGAACACGGTAATTCTGGAGGTAGAGATTTCAAGTGTTTGAATGCGGTTAACGGGAGCTCTGGCAAATGTTATCTCCAAACTACTGAAAATTACTAAGCTTGTTTCTTAAGAGCACAATATGCAGATTGAAGAAAAGGAGGCTCTAAGACAAAGAGCTGAGGGGTGCTAGAATGATCAAACAACATCAGCTGAAAGAAGAATGTTAATATGAATGGCAAACCAACGAAATGCAAGATGATAGCAACGTAACCATGAAGTCTGGCTTAATCAGATAAAGATACCTGTTCAGCCAGCTCCAGCAGAAAAAGATTCCTTTCTCTGAAGTGATGAGTTAACACCCTCTGAACACAATAATTTCTTGTTTAGACCTGAATTTAAAATATATCAGCATTACACTGACTGGTCTGCTTTAGACCAGCAGCCTAACAATGGGCCTCATCCTCCAAACTGACCTTGTTAATAGCAAGAGCATAATTCAATGTAATAGTGACTTCATAGTCATCCTCACGGATGGTAGCAGCATTAATCTAGAGGGAAAGCGCAACTGTTAGTATCTCTTACAAAAAGGGCACAGAAATAGTTTTATGAATGAGTCTTGCTGATGATGTTTATTATGGAGCCAATAAACAAAATCACATGTGGCCTTTGCTGAAGTGTGATGTTGTACCAACGCTTCCCATCTAACTGAGAAAGGGGCAGGTGGTATTTTGAGTAACTGGAAAAACCAGGATGACTGAAATGCCAACTGAATCCATAAGATGTAGTAATGCTATGTTTCATGAAAGTTCAGTTGTTGTCCATCCAGATTTTGCAGCTCCATGAAAGGCTATGTTGTCCTTAGGACTCCCTACTCCAGGAGAACTGGCTACTGCTTTAGTTGTATCAGTCTGTAGAAGCACAGTCTGTAGTAAAACGTGGGCAACTTCTGTATCAATTCATTGAGACAGTGCTACTAGCAAGCAGTTGTATGTAAATAAGTGCATGGGGGATTATAAAGAAGTGGAAGGAAGCTGACAAGGTTAAAATGCAGCAGGCTGAGAATTTTGAGATAAGGTTGATTATATTTCTAATCTGCATGAAAACTGAAAAAGCAGCATTAAACCCAGATAGCTGGCATCTACTTTGAATCACCTCTGTTACTTTTGGGGGCTGTGGTTTCAAGACAATAGGATGATGAAAGGCCAAGAAGCAGCAGGAGTAGCCTCCTCTAGGCAATTTAATATTTTTCAGGCATATCCTTTTGAATCCTCCATCGAAGGAAACAAGTTGCAGTGGACCTATACCTCAACTTCACCAAGCACATGTCTTTTATATTTATACTTGTACTACAGCTTCTGAAAACACTGGTGGACCCAATAGGTCTCACTGGGTATAGAATTCAGATGGAAAGTATCTGATAGAGTGCCCTACATCCCAAAAGTGTAATCTGCCAAATGACAGTTAGATTTCTGACCCCCAGTATTCACAAACTTTTCTGTAGTTGTTTCTATGTGCTGAAACTGTTTTTTTTTTACTGGTGTGTCACATCAGTCAGGACAGGCTAAGAAATAGTGAACTTGAACTGTAACGAGGGAGGATTAGGTCAGACACTGGGAAAAAGCTTCCCAGTAGCTATGCCAGTTCAAGGAGCTCCCAACCCTGCTTCTGCCTACATCCCACTTCCAGGTGCTCACTGGCAACCTTCTTTTGTACTAGCACTGGTGCCCTTTTTTCCCCCCCCCCGAGCTATTTTTAGCCTGGGTCAGTCACTGATCCAGCCCACAGGACACTGCCACAAGCAGTTATGCTGGCAGCACCTAGGAAGCAGTGTGAGGGGATGCGACTCCTTGACCCAGCTGGCCGGGCTGCCAAAGAAAGCAATCAGTACTGCAGCTGAACAGCAAGGATAATGGAGAGCAGAAGTGGACTGCCTGGGGCAATTGTGAAATCTCCATTGTTGGTGAGTCTGAAAAGCTTCAAGACAAAGATTTGTCAGGAACAGTTTAGGCAGAGTTGATCCTCCCTCAGGACAGGGACCAAACGATCTCTCAATCATACCAGCCCTATCTTCTAGGACTCTGTAGAAAGAACCTCCAGTTTCTATCTTCTTTCTATCACACCTTTAATCATTTTAATGCACTTTGGTGACATCCCGAAGACTATGTCTCCAGTATCAAAGGCAATACCCTGTTCCTGTAATGCTGGTATAATTTACACTAGAAGTAGACTATATAGCCAAAGAGAATTGCTGTGGTCTCCTGGTATAATCCAGCCCAGAACAGAGGCAAGCATATAATCTAAATCCCATTTCTAGAAGGGCTTATTTAACTGACCAGATGTCAGTGATCTCTTCTTTTTCTTGGTTGCCTGCTGTGGTATACTATAAAAGCAGCTGAGCAAGGGCTTTCTCGCTTCTATCACTTCTCTTATAGCTGTGACGTGAGAGGAGACTAGAAACTGCCATAGGAAAGAAAGCAGAAAAATATCTTCAGTAAAAGACTGAGCAAAAAATGGAACAACAAAACAAATTGCACACGCAGATAGGTCAAGGTATAAGGAAAGGGGAGACATTTATTTTTCCAGTGTTTATCTAGCAGCCACAATAATCTTTTCATGCGATATTACTCACAAGCTCCTTCCTACCTTTCCCATTCGAGGTTCTCCAATCAGTGCTCTGAATTCAAGGTTGTTCTGAGCATAGCTTCTAAGGTGAGCACAAACATGATCCAGCTGTTTTCTCCAGTAACCTGATCAGAGAGAGTTAAGCAGGAGAAAAATCCCTGAAATTGTGATTAACATTTCTTCTAGTCATGTGATGGATGATTTAAAAGATAGAATATTTTCACTGAGAAAAAAAAAAAATTGAATTTTTCTTTGGAAAATTCATCTGATGAAGAAAATAAGAAGCAAGTTATACCCTAAAAAAAAGTTAAATACTGTCTTATCCATAATTTATAATTCATTCTTAGGGCACCTCTATTCACAACAAAACCATGTATTGGAATTGTCCTTTGGAATCAAAACTGGAGAATCTCACACTACTTGAGATCATAAAAAAAAAAAAGTACAATATTACATCTAAGCAATTGTGCATTATTGAACTGATTTTTAGTTGATTTGAGGTCACTGACAGGTAATAATAAGCCAAATCTGAAAACTGCAGGCGCAGTAGCTCAGCCTATACAGCATTCTGGTCTGCGTAAATTATTCCCCGAAGAAATCCCTTTAAATTGTATATGGGAGAGCCTATACTTAA